TGGGCAAAAACTAAAAGCATTTCCTTTAAGAACAGGAACAAGAAAGGGATGCCCACTTTTGCCACTCTTATTTAACACAGTACTGGAAGTCTTAGCCACAACAATTAGACAAGAAGGAAAAATAAAAGGGATCCAAATTGGAAAGGAGGACGCAAAACTCATTATTTGCAGATGACGTGATATTCTACATAGAAAACCCTAATGACTCCATCAAAAATCTACTAGAGCTAATAAACGAATTTGGAAAAGTAGCAGGATACAAAATTAACACCAAGAAATTGATGGCATTCTTATACACCAATAATGAACTCACAAAAAGAAAAACTAAAACAACAATCCCATTTACCATTGCAGCAAAAAGACCTAAGAATAAACTTAACCAAAGAAGTAAAGGACCTGTTCTCAGAAAACTACAGAACATTGAAAAAAGTAATAGAGGAAGATATAAAAAAGTTAGAAGCATACACCTTGTTCATGGATTGGAAGAATTAACATCATTAAAATGTCCATACCACCCAAAGCAATCTCTAGATTCAATGCAATCCCCATCAAAATATCAACGACATATTTCATGGAACTAGAACATATACTCCAAAAGTTTATATGGAACCAAAAAAAGACCCCGAATAGCCACAGCAATCTTTAAAAAGAAGAATAAGTAGGAGGGATCACAATACTGGATATCAGATTATACTACAAAGCCATTATAATCAAAATTGCCTGCTACTGGCCCAAGAACAGGCATATAGATCAATGGAACAGAACAGAGAAACCAGAAATTGACCCAAGACATTATGCTCAATTAATATTTGACAAAGGTGGCAAGAGCATACAATGGAGTAAAGCCTCTAATAAATGGTGTTGGGAAAATGGGACAGCTACATGCAAAAAAAAAAAAAAAAAGAAGCTAGACCACTAACTTACACCATACACAAGAATAAACTCAAAATGGATAAAATACTTAAATGTGACTCATAAATCCATAAAAAATCCTAGAAGAAAAGGTAGGCAACAAAATTTCAGACATCACACACAGCAGAATTTTCACTGATACAACACCTAAGGCAAGAGAAACAAAAGAAAAAATTAATACACGGGACTACATCAAACTAAAAAGCTTCTGCTTTCAGCAAAAGAAACAAGCTTCAAAATAGAAAGGGAACCCCCTATATGGGAGACCATAATCGCCAATGATACATCAGATAAGGAGTTAATTTCCAAAATATATAGAGTACTCATACAACTCAACAAAAGGAAGACAAAGAATCCAAACAGGACATACAAATGGCTAACAGACATGAAAAAATGCTCAACGTCACTAATCATCAGAGAGATGCAAATTAAAACAACTATGAGGTATCACCTCACACCTATCAGAATGGCCACCATCAACAAATCATCAAACAACAAGTGCTGGCGAGGGTGTGGAGAAAAGGGGACTCTTGTATACTGCTGGTGGGAATGCAGACTGGTGCAGCCGCTATGGAAAACAATATGGTGTTTTCTTAAAAAATTAAAAATTGAATTGCCATTAGACCCAGTGATCCCACTTCTAGGAATATATCCTAAGAAACCTGAAACACCAATCAGAAAGAATATATGTACCCTATGTTCATAGCAACACTACATATAATTGCTAAGATCTGGAAACAGTCCAAGTGTTCATCAATAGATGAGCAGATAAAAAAGTTGTGGTGCACATTCATGGCTATCGGGATGGGCATCCGATGCTAATCAGGGCAATTGTTGCCCACATCTACCCCATCTCATCAGTCCCAGCCCATGTTCTATAATAAAAAGACTGAAAAAAAAAGTTGTGGTACATATACACAATGAAATACTATGTAGCTCTAAGAAAGAAAGATCTCCTAACCTTTGAGACAACATGGAGGGACCTGGAGAGTATTATGCTAAGCGAAAATAAGCCAATCAGAGAAAGACAAACATCACATGATCTCACTTATTTGTGAAATATAATGAACAATAAAAGCTGAAGAACAAAACAGACCCAGAGACACAAAAGTAGGGTACAGATGGACAAACCTCAGAAGAGGGGGATGGTGGGAGGTAGGGAAAAGATAAACCACAGAACTTATATGCATGTATGTGTAACCAGTGGACATAGACAACAATGCTAGGAGTGGGGGCGGGATTGGGAGGAAGATGTCAATGGGGGGAAAGGGAGAAAACATCTGTAACAAAAATAAATAAAAAAAATTGCAAAAAAATAAATAAAAGAAAAAAAAGAAATCACGGCCCTGGCGGGTGTGGCTCAGTGGGTTGGGTATCGTCCTGTGCACTGAAAGGTTGCCGGTTCAATTTTTGGTCAGGGCACGTGCCAGGGTTGTGGGCTTGATCCTCGGTACAGGGTGTGCAGGAGGCAGCTGATTGATATTTCTACTCTCACACTGATGTTTCTCTCTCTCTCTCTCCTTCTCCATTTCTCTCTCTAAAAATCAATTTAAAAATATAAAAAAACAACTAGAAAAAATATCTACCACCCTGAAGATAGACCAAAGTGGCATAGGACATGAATAATGGTTCTTGGAAAAAGTATCTTACCAAACCAGGTAAGGTCAAGGAGTTTGGACAAGGTGGCTTCCACTTCCTAACCCTGAGTGACTGTGAGATTAGGTGATACACCCTTGTCATGGAGGCAGTGGGACTGCTCGCCTGCACTGCTGGCAGCAGCTGAAACTAGTACTTCTAAGGAAGGCAGTTTGGCAACTGCTTGTAAAATCTAAAAAGCATCTTTTTTGATGCAGTGTTTCTATTTATAAGAATTTGCCCTTAGGAACTCCAGATATGTGTGTGCAAAACCCTGTGTACAAAGCTTATGAAAGCAGACCATTAGCAATGGCCTACGTGGCTACTTTAAGAGCATGGCTTCTTCCTCACCAGGAGACACTACAGTAAAAAGGGCAGGCCTGAGGGTCTTGGGGACCCATTGCCTGTGAGAACAGCACTGTGGGGATGAGCTACTTCTGAAAGACTGGAGAACAACCTTGTAGCAGAGGTTACACTGGGGAGAGGAACTAGAGGCTGGGGGTCAGGAGAGGGAAGAAGCCTTGTTTCCCCTGGCTCATAATTTGGTACTTCTTGAATTCTGTGTCATGGGAATGTGTTAGCTATTCCAATAAATAGACCAGCTGGAGAAAGACGGACTACATAAGCCCATGACACGACTGGAAGAGTCTCAGTGGCGGGAGTATGACTGGTTGTGCACCAAAACACTGCGCTGTATGAATGTTAGAGAAAGTAATGATTTCTCTATTAATGAGTAGTCACTTAGCACAATCTGCAAGGCCTTGTGATTGGGGAAGGAGGGGCTGCTGAGGACGAGGCCAGTGGCAGTACAAGAACTCTGGCCCTGGAGAGGCACCTGCCCTGCTGACCCGGGAGGCTCTGCTCTGAAGGATGCCACCTGCAGGCTCATGTCCCTGGTCTGGTAAGGTGTCTAAAGCCCTGGCTGCCTGGCTTTCCACTACCACTGCCCCTTCTGCAGGGTATTGTCATTGGAGGCCTCACTCACCCACCAAGTCAGCCTTAAAGAGGAGGGCCTTCTCTTTTTCCCAGGTCTCCCAGAATGAAGAGCCAAGAGGCCTGCCTTCTGCTACAGTCTCAGACAAGCATCAACCTGCTCCTCTGGGAAAGGGGCACAACTCCAGTCACCTGAAAAGGCAGTGATGAAGTCCCCACATGGCTAAGGTTACATGACAGGAATCACCCGACAACCTGGAGGCTGTCATCCAGTGTAATCTGAATGTGTACCCTGGCTGGGCCAATTTAGGCAGCAATGGAGCAGAGCCCTTGCTTTCAACCCAGGTGCCAACCCAGTTGCCCACTGTACCCTCTGGAGGAGACTGTCCCTGCCACTCCTGGCTACCCTAACCTCACCGGTCGTGTAGGGTTCACATGGTTCCCACTCACCAGATACTTATTGACGACAGGTTGTTCGAAGTATAAACTAGCAGTTCTCACTACAGTGACTCTGCCCCCAGGGGACACTGTGGTCTCACAACAGGGAATGCTCCTGGCATTGAGTGGGTAGGGCCAGGGATGCTGCTCAATCCCCTCACAGTGCTGAGGATGACTCCTACAGAGAATGACCCAGTCCCATTGTCCTAGTGCCTAGACACCTGGTTAGGGTCAGGCCACAGAGGCTACCTACTGAGTATGACAATGACATATGTGTGGGCTGACCCTGGAGTTAGCACAGCCAAAGGGTCCTGAAGACAATCCTATGCCAACACCTGTGAGTCCTTTTTCCAGCTGAAGCCAGTGGTGGGCTGGAGTCCCACATGAGGAATAAGGTGAGCAAGCTTTAACCCCACTGAGTCACCAGGTGGCCTCCCCCGCCTCACACATCAGAAAACAAGGTGGAAAAGCCTGCTTAGGCCTGACCAATGACACAGCATACAGCATGTAATGATCATCTTCTAGGCTTCCTCAAGAGGAGCCACAGCCATGGAAGGCAGTGTTGTAGGTACACAGGGCCTCCTGTCTACGAGTTCACAGCAGGCCTGAGGCCCGCAGGATCAGAGAGCACTCTGCTTCTCAAAGCCAAGTTTCAAGGCCTTCAAGGTCTTGCTTATCTCAAAAAACTAGTCCCTGTTTTTATATTTTGTAATGTTCTTTAAGGAGCCAAAGGAAATGAGACATTGCCATGACACATCTTCCATGACTCTATTTTGAAGCTGACTGTGGTCTAGATGTGCTACCTATAGAATGGGTTATACCATGGTCTCCCTCTTGGCACTGCTCACCGTGGGGTCCAATCATTCTCTGTGGGGGGCTATCCTGGGCACTACAGTGGGTTGAATAGCATCCCTGGCCCCACCCCTCAATGCCAGAAGCACCTGTGACAACCACAAATGCCCCACACATCACCACTGTTCACTGGGGGCAGAATCACTCCAGGAGAGGTAGAACAACCATCCCAGGGGGTAGGAGGGGGTTACACCAGCCAACAGTGAGAGCGGTCAGGTGGTACCTCCTACCCAAGAGGGATATGGAGAAGGTGAGGGAGAAAAGCCCAATAGCAGGAGCCTGTGATCATCCGCCTGGCCACGTCCTATGCAGGCACCAGGGTCCTGGGTCCTGGTGGAGAAGTCCCATATGAGAAAGATCCAATCAGAAATAGGGAGTTGTTGCCCAGCCGGTGTGGCTCCTGGCCCCATGGGAAGACCACTGGAACACAAATGACAATGATAGTAGTAAACTCCACCTGCACCCCTCCATGAGCCAACATAGCTCAAAGCACTCAAGATGCTTTATTAATTTTGTCTCCAGGCATGATCCATATCTATTTCACAAACTAAGAAACTTGGGACACTGGCAGTTGGTGGGTGGTGGTGATGAGACTGAACTCCACCTGCTATGACTGCTCAGGTCACAATACTCCCATGGGTGAGGGTCCCCAGGCTCAAATGGAGCAAGCCAACAGTCTAAAGCTCAAAGGACTGCCCTGGATGGCTCATCATACCACGTGTGAATCTCTACCAGGCACTCCCTGAATGAATAATCCAATTAGGGGTCACGATGACAAATGACTGGGAACTATCATCTTGGGGCACAGACTTTCACAGGGCACCGAAATCTCCAGAGAAAAGTGCACACAGGTGGAGGAACCCGGAGGCTGGGAGGTGGCTCTAGGTACCCCCAGACTACCTGTGGACCTTCAACCAGCCCCTTCCTCTTAGGAAAGGTGGGGGATTATGCCAGGAGCCCAAGGGCTGTCATCTTATTCCAAGTCATTCTCTAAGGGGTTGGTGGAGAAGTCCCATGTGAGAACGATCCAATCAGAAATAAGGAGTTGTTGCCTGGCCAGTGTGGCTCAGTGGTTGAGCGTCAACCCATGCACCATAAGCCACCAGTTCGATTCCCGGTCAGGGCACATGCCCAGGTTGTGGACCCAATCCCCATTGAGGGGCATGCAGGAGGTGGCAATCGCCATTCTCTCTCATCGATGTTTGTATCTCTCCCTCTCCCTTCCTCTCTCTCTAAAAGTTAATAAATAAATAAATAAATAAATAAATAAAAAAAATAAAGAAACAGAGAGTTATCCAATTTTCTGCTTATGAAGGATCTGGGAGGCTGGGAGAGGAGTTTTTGGCCTTATTCTTTTGCCTCAGTCAGGCAACCCTGTGTCCAGCCTCAAGTCTCCCTCCCTTTCCCTACAGCAAACCAAAATACAGCCGGTTAGCCAGCTATGCATTGTGTAGCAGAGAAAAGGAGGCTTTGCAGGACAGACCTGGCTTTGAGTCCTGGCTCCAAGCCTTACTGGCTGCATAGAGTTAGACAAGCAAATTCTCCTCTCTGAACCGGTCTCTTCGTCTAGAAAACGGGGATAAGAGCAGCCTATGCTGCTGTGAAACTGGGTGCAACTTCTGTGAAGCACCTAGCAGAGTGCCTGACCCAAAGGAGATGCTAGGAAGTAGTCATGGCTATTCCCATGAGCCCAGTGACTATAGGTCCCAGCCACGACTGTTTCCTGCTCTTCCATCATGAGGCACCCCTGGGCTGTGTGGCATGAGAGGTACTCTGGTGGCCACTGCTGCTGCCCCAATGACCTCTTGGCCACAGCTGCAGGCTGGGTGGCCAGGTTGGGCCCCATTTCCTCCTACACTGTCAACCTAGGTGAAAAGGACAGTTGTTCCTAAGAATCTGTCCTCAGTTGAGGACAAGGGAGGAACAGCCTGTAGGAGGGCTGGCTATGGTCTTACGGATGTGGACCCTGGACTAGAACCCTGCTCCTGGCCTTAGAACAGATGAAACACAAACTGGGATCTTTGAGGGGAGTGGCCCCACCCCACAGAGGGAATACAAGCTAGTGGTCCCTTACTGGTAACAAAAGCAAAAGCATGCAATGGGGAGCAGCACACTTCTCATGAATGGCTGATGTGAAACACAAGGCAAGTTATTCTGGGGACCTGTGGTGGGGGCCCCTGAGGAGCATATTCCAGCATGCACACATGTGCAGGTGGTCCTGGGAGCTGATCAAGGAGCTGGAAAGTAGAGGCCTGAAGTCGCTGTACTCTCAGGGCTCATAGACCAGAGACTGTTAATTCAACACCTGCTCTATGGACCCATGGTGACACTGCTGGCAGCAAGGGCTACATCCACCCCAGGTGAGAATTGCTGCTCTAAGCACTGGAAATGATGCCAGAAGGGAGGTGAGCCCCTATGTTTCTGTCTCCCATCTCTCCCTCTGAAGAGCACCAACTCCCTCATCTAACCTGGTGAAATGTTCAGACCGAAAGGCCATCTGGGTCTGCTGCAGTCCAAAGGATGACAACCCCGTGCAAAGGAAGAATATCAACATGGGCACCACACCCAAATGATTTATGATCATTTATGTGATCCTAACTGTGAATGAAGTCAGAGAGCAGATTCTCAAGATTGGATGGGGCCTCAGAGAGGATCCGATTAAGCCCCATCAGGTTCCTGAAGCCCTTTCACAACTCTGCATCTGCTTACATACCTGCAAGGACAGAGAGCTCACCCCTTAACAAGCAGCCTGAACGTCAGGAAGTGCTTCTTCAGTCTGTTATATTGCTGTTACCATCCTTGGGTCCAAGGTGGGGTGGCAGAAGAAAAACCTATTATGTTTTGGGCAGGATATCTCCTCTAGCCCCCACCCCTCCAGCACTACTGATATCAAGGACGGGTCATTCTCTGGGGAGCCATCCTGGGCACTATGGGGAGTTGAGCAGCATCCCTGGCCCCTACCCACTCAATACCAGAAGCATCCCATTATAATAACCATAGAGGTCTCCATACATTGCTACTAGGATACAGTTTAGGGGAATCCTTTGGTAAATAGTTGCTTCCATAGACCAGCGGGCTCCAAAGACCAGCACTAAACTCTTTCAGATGCTCAGCCCTTCAGAAAGTGCAGACAGACAAATACCCTCTTCCCAGCCATCTACCCCTCCCCCTGCTCCCACCATCCTTCTACCTTCCACCTAGCTGGCCTCTCCTTACTGTGGGAGACAGCACAAATGCACTGTCCTAGTCCTTTCTGCAGCTGTCGTGTCCTTAGGGACGAGACCTCCGTGAGTCACAAAGCAGTGGTTCCTGGATCCGATCTGATCTGAGAAGAGCATGTACAAAAAGGCATGGGGTCTGGAAAGAACAGCCTGCACCTTTAGAGAACCCTAAAGCAAGCAGTTTAGGCAGGCTGGGTACATAAAGCACATTGGGGGCAGGAAGAAGAAAAGGTGACAAGGCCAAAGGATGGTCTCCTGGGGCTGTGTGGTAGCAGGGAGGTGGGAAAGGGACCAGAAGTTGAGAGTGGCATGATCAGATATGGGTTTATAAGCTGGCAGTGGTGTAATGTGGAGGCCAGAGAGAGTAGTGGCAAGCAGAGCAGATGCCTGCCTGTCCAGGTGAGAAAGCAGGAGGTCCTGAAAAGCTTGGAGGGATGGAGAGAAGGGGCCCCATTTGAGGCTTAGGTTGTAAAGGGGGGGTGGGGTGGACAGGCAGGTTTGAGGAAAGAATGACCTCTTCTGAATACACTCAACCCAAGGTGCACAGGAAAGATGGACAGAGACACTTAGGAGAGATAATAACTGGTCACTGGCTACGTGGGCCTGGAGTTCAGGAGTCAGCTTTGGGCACCAGCAGCCAATAAGGATAGGAAGCTAAGGGTGAAAGGCAGGCCACCAAGGAACATGTGCACAGGAGCAAAGAGATATCTGAGTCCAGATTTATAAGAGCCACCACACAAGAACCTGTTCCTGACTATTCATGGCAACTCTATTCATAATAGGCAAAAGGTGGAAACAGCTCAAGTTTCCACCAACTGGTGATGGACAAATAAAATGTAACCCATCTATGCTGGAATAGTATTTGGTCACAAAAAGGGTCAAAGCACTACACGTTACAACCCTGAAAACGTGATGCTCAGTAAGAAAAGCCAGACACAAAAGGCCACAATATGTGTGAGTCCATTTATGTGAAATGTCCAGAACAGGCAAACCCAAAGACAGAAAGCAAATTTGTAGTTGTCAGAGGCTGGGGAGAAGGGGGAGGGGAGTAACTACTGATAGGGAAGGGGTTTCTTTTTGGACTGATGAGAATGTTCTGGAACTAGATAGTGGTGATGGATGCACAAGCTTGTTAACATACTGAAAACCATAAATTGTACACTTTAAATGGGTGGATTGTACGGCATTAGAATTATATCTGAATAAAGCTGTTACCAACAAAAATTAGTAAGATAATAAAAAGGAGAGTCAGCCCAGCCGCTGTGGCTCAGTGGATTGAGCATCCTCCCATGGACTGAGAGGTCCCGGTTTGATTCCCAGTCAGGGCATAAGCCCAGGTTTCAGGCTCAATTCTCCCAGTAGGGAGCGTGCAGGAGGCAGCTGATCAATGTATGTCTCTCACAGCAATGTTTCTCTCTTTCCCTTCCTCTCTCTCTCTCTCTCTCTCTCTCTCAAAAAAAAAAAAAAAAAAAAAAGGAGATCCAGTGAAGGAGACAGTTAGAATGCAAAGGAATCCAGGAGAGTAGATTCTACATTCTACTTTATTTGAAGAAGGGGCACCATTTATTATATATAATGGTCTAACAGTTAAGTGAAGCAATGCAGAGTGTGTTCTGTCATTCCATTTACATGTGAGTAGTCACTTGCCAAAAACACAAGGATGTATGGAAGTCAGGGGCATAAACATCCTGGCAAGAGTGGCACATAAGGAGGTGCTTTGGTCATGTGCTTAGCCTCAGTGCTCAACAGATGTCTGTGCATTGAAGGTAGGAGCTTCGGGACTTGCCTGGCTCCTATCTGCATGCATAAGCAGGTTCCCACATTGATCTAATCCTCAGGGAGGTCGAGTGAGGGGTGGGCAGGGTGGTGACCATTGGGGCCTGTGATGGGACAGAAACTAGACCACAAGGAACTCCCAGGGCAGAAAAGGAGCCACCAAACACTCCTTTCCCAGCTCTGCTGGCTTCCTGTACCAACTCCAGCACCCACTCACATCAGCATGCATCAGCGCCAGCCTCACTAGAGCACTATGTGTGCTCTGGAGACAAAGTCCCTGTCCTCCCAGGGCTCACCATCTAAACGCTAGTCCAGGGTCTCCCCCCCCATTGGCACTGCTGACACTGAAGCCAGGTCATTCACTGTGAGAGGCTGTTCTGGGCAATATGGGGTGTTGAGCAGCATCCCTGGCCCCCACCCACACAATGCCAGGAGCACCCCCAGTGTGACAACCACAGATGTCCCTACTTGAGAACCTCTGCTCTCAAAGAGAAAAACTACAGGGGAACTGCAATTTGGCTGGTTCCTAAAAGACCAAGTCCCTTGATTTCGACACCAACCAGCAGTCCCTGAGTGGACTTTAGATCCTCATCCCTCTCAGTGACACTGAGTAAAAGGTCCCCCAAACCAACCCCACGCTAGTCCTCCCCAAACTCAGGAGTCCCAAACCTCCCTGGTCAGAGGTCCCAATAAATAGCACTGGTGGGAAATTTCTACTGAAACAGAGGAGCCAGTATGAAATCAATGCAGAGCCACTTCTGAAGCCTCATTAGGTTTTCCCGTTTGCTTCCAGGTACTCCTCCCCACATCCCCAAACAGCCACCACCACCAGCCAGGCCCCGAGTTCTGAGATTTTCGGTGGGTAGAGGGGAGAGTTGGCCAGCACAGACACCTGAGACACAGCCTCCAACACAGCAAACCACCTGTCTTTTTTGACCCAAGAGCTACCAAGGACCAGAGCCCTGGTTTTTGGAGTGGGAGGGCCTGAATTCTTAACAAACTCTCCTGGAGCAATCCAACCTCATTTGTAACACAAAAAAGGTAGTGGCCAGCACACCTGCTCCCACTCTCGGTTCAGAAGGAAATGCCAGTACACTATTGCCAAAACAGAAGGGGCCCCCAACATCAAAGGCCATGACGATCCACAAGAAATTCTGTCCAATAAGCAGCCTAGGGGACAATGTACCACTCTGGAAACTGTCCCCAGAGGATTTCATTAGCTTCTGCAGTGCAAATCCTGCCCCCACCTCCAGGGGGACACCACCCAACCTCCTTTTCAAAGTCCCTCCCATCTGTCTCCATTCCAGGGGGGTTAGCTATATATTCTGTGGTACATGGTTTTTCTTTAGGTGAATAGTCCTCATTTAAAGTGTGGTTAAAAAAAGGTGAAGTGATTAAGAACTACAAATTACGAGTTATAAAAATAATCATAGGGATATAACATACAGCATAGAAAATATAGTTAATAATATTGTAATAACAGTAGATACTATATTTGGCTAATTCCTAAAGCACAGGTTAGGGCGTGGGCCTGCTGTTCTCAGGGTGAAGTGGGGGGCCCTGGTTTTGGGGAGCAAAGCTACACATGCTACTTACAAGAGGATTGTGGAGGATGAGTGTGGGAGGGAGGAGGTCATGGGTTGCAGGTGGCTCAGTTTGGGGAGGTCATGCAGGGCCGGGTTTGGGGGGAGGCTGATTTGGGGGAGATCATAAGATATACACATGTCTCATCACTATGTTGTACACCAAAAACTAGTATACTATTGTATGTCAAATACAACTACAAACAACAATAACAACTATGTTAAGATGGGAGTTAGTAAAGGATGAGTACAGCCTCACCAGTGAGAGGCATAACAACATCACCTGATGGACTGGGGTAAGGGGATCAAGTTCCCAGCCTGAAAGGCACCCCAGACAAGGGGATGATTTTTGTCAGGGAAGAGAACAGGGTAAAAAAGATTTAGGCTAGACATCTTCACAGTGATGGGTCTCAGGCTTTGGGTTGGAGGCAGGTCTAGATGGTGCAGGACCAATGCAGGGGTGGGAGGCAGTTTTTAGTAGGAGAAAACAGCTCTGGCTGGCGAGGTCGGTCCACCCTTGGAGGGAAGGGGTTGTTTGGGGTGGCGGGGCTTGTTCTTGCAGAAAGTGACAGATCTCGGAGAAGCTGGTCACAGACAGGTCACCTGATTTTGGTGGGGTCAGCACCAAAATGGGAGAGCTTGATCCTGGGTGGCTGAAATGGGTCAAGCTGGGGGGGGGGGGGGGGTTAGGATTAGAAGGCAGAGGGGCTGGAAGTGAGGAGTGCATTAATGTATTCAAACCACCTGACCTAAGTGCTTCTGTGTGTCAGAAGTGGAGAAGGGAGCGGTGAATACAATGGGGTGCCCAGACCGACAGAGTCTCCACATCTCATCTCAGCCTACTCGATTCAGAGTCCACAAGCTCAGATTGAATTTTATTGGAGCGGAGGACTGGCTGAAGACTGGGTGGACCACAACTATGGGGGGCTGTTTAAATCTGGACAGCGGCTGAGCTGGGGCGTCCGAACTTGTAAAAGCCGGGTTTGACAAGCCAGAGGTGAATAGTACAGATCAGTGGCATGGGCCCGCTGTCCTGGGTGCGGGCTGAAGGAGTCCCTTGTTTTTGGTTTTGGGGGGCAGAGCTCGGCCTCATGTTTATAAAAGGGTTGTGGACGATGACTGCGGGGGAGATCGACTGCTGCTGGCAACCGGGGGCGGGGGGAGGTCACTCAGGGTCGGGTTTGGCAGTTAAGGAGGTAGTGGGATGCTGAGGTCACCCTAGGCCTAAATTGGCTTGGCGGGCGGCGTTCGGGGGTCTGGCGGCCTCCTGGAGGGCCCTAGCTCGGGGGTCGCAACTCGGCCCGTCGGCTCGGTTCCTGGGAGTCCTGGGTTGGTCCTCGCCGCCGCCAGGCCCGGCTCCGGGGTCGCGGCTCGGGGCTGTGGGGGTGGGCGGGTCCCCAGATCCCGGCCACCTCACCTGGCTCGCTCCCGTCACCCGCTGGCTCCGTCGGCCCCGCCTCTTCCGGCGTCGCGCCGGGCTGCACCGCGTCGCCTTCGCTGTCCGCAGCCCCGCCGGGTCCGGCTGCGGCCGCCACTGACGGGATTCCCGGTTCTGTGCTCCTTAATATGGCGGCGATCGCGGATCTGCGGCCTCCCGCGCCCTCCTCAGTCGCGCGCGCTCCCGCGGCCGGCCACGCCCCCGCGCCGGCGCGCTGCGTGTTGCCGGCACGCCCCATCACGCCCCCGCGCCCCCCGGACCACGCCTACCTCATGGGCTGCGCCTGCGCGCGTTGGGCATCTCGGGAGGACGTGACGTAGCCCGCGATTCGAATCAATACAGGAAGCGCAGCGCCACGCGTTGCCAAGGGCAACCGCGACTGGAAGAAGTTCTGGGGTCCGGT